AAAAGACCCCCTATAATGTTAAATCTATACGGGACGAATCCAAGTCCTCGGTGCCACTCATCCCAGGTGGCAGCACTGCCGGGGCAAGCATGGGCGGCAGCTGCTGGGTATCCTCAGCTGCATGCGAGCGAGAAAGCGATAGGAGAGAAGAGAGAAGCGAGAGAGAGAGAGAGAGAGAGAGACAACGAGAGAGACAGAGAGAGACAAAGAGAGAAAGGGAGAGAGAGAGAGAGAGAGAGACAAAGAGAGAGAGACAGAGAGAGACAAAGAGAGAAAGGGAGAGAGAGAGAGAGAGACAGGACAGAGCCACTGCGGTCAATATTCGGCTGGCTGTGTCTGTTGCGAATCGGCTGCTTCGATCTTCACGAACTCCTTCTTGATAGCCAGGAGAGGGCTCGGAGCTGTTGCGGCCTGCAAGGTTGGAGAAAGCGAGCACTTCCTATATATTGTTACTTGAGAGTTCGAGGCCTTGCATCCTTGTCTCAAGATCAGCTTGCACTCCTGACCAGGGTTCGTTTCGCATGCAATCCTTGTAAGGAATCTTATAGGAAGTTTAGGGCTATGGTGCAGACCAGAACAGCAGTCCTGAATGGCTTGCAGCAGTGCATCTCTTGACAGAAAAGAGGTGTCCAAGGCAAACTCTAAACCTGCCAGATCAGCTGTCGCCTTTGCTCCCTTGGCCAAATCTTCTATAGACATGGCATTGGCCGAGGCAACTGAAGCGGATGCCATGTCGAGGCTATCGAAGCCTTGCACCCCGGATGCAAAATGCAGGGGTACCAAACAGAAAGCTTGGACAGCATGGCGAGACTTAGGATGTTTGCATGTGCGACAGTGCAAGTGAGGTCCGATTGAGGCACAACACAGGATCGTTCTTTTCTTCAGCAGGTTCTAGCCTCCAACAAACCTGCATTTCTCATAAAGACCGAGCACACAGCTCGAGGCGAGATCTGTTTTACAGGGCTTGGTTTCTGATTGGTGCAGGGTTCTAGGGGCTTCAGGTTTGTCCCTTCATAAGGAGTTATAACTTTGGTCCTTTTGGGTTTTCGGGGTTTAGGGTTGCACACAGGCTTATATAAGGCTGAGGGTCAGGATTAAGGGTTTAGGGTCTTGGGTTATTAGCAGAAGGCCTTGTGGCAGTTCTCGAAACCGCCAAGCTGAGCACAAGTTGGCTTCTGCTGGTGTGGAAGCATTTAAGCCCCATATGGTTCAAGGTTTATGGGCATCAGGGTGGTGTAGGGGGCTCATAGATCATGATGGG